GCAGAATTTTTGGAGAATAAGGCAGACACTTTCTGGAGCTCTTGATTTCCAGGAGCTTATGGCCTCATCGTGAAGATATGTAGGTATAAGACAAGTGACAGGTGAGGGCTGCACCAGTTCAGACTAGGGTGACATCCTTGGGAACCTTCATAAATATATTGGTATTTGACTTTAATGCTTGGGACGAGTAGGATGTTGATAAGCAGAGGGTAGGAAAGCATGGAGCTGGCGGGAGGTAGGGAAGCACAAAGCCTGTCTGGCAAGAGTGAGTCAACAGTTTTGTAGGTTTGTCTGGAGTCGAGGATTCAAGGAGGAAAGCTCTTGAAATTAAAGCTGGGAGGCACAGCTTGGTCTAGATGATGTAATAATAATTTGCAACTGTCTTAGGTCAGACTCAAGCTAAAGTGAAAATGAACTGATGGTTTATGAAGTGGAATTTGATGCCATCTGGCTCATTAACAACAACCTTTTAGCTGGAAAATGCTATCCAGAAGGACGATGTAGGTGAATTTTCATGAGAAAACTTAGTAGCCATTTATTTGTTTCAGTGGTACAGCTCTATTATTAATATTTTTGTCAGCAAAATTTAACAGTATAAAGGACATATCATTAAAGAAATGTCTTTGGGTATTCGTAAGCACAAAATGGCAATGTTACTAAAGAAAATGTTCCTGAGAGCTATGAAGAGTGCCCTGAACTTGTGGTACTTATTGGCCTTTCATGGAATTTTTGTCTTCGTGTTTTTAAAGGTCAAAGAATGTAACTCCCCACTCCTTTATGAGTCTCAGCAGCTGTTGGTTCCGTTGGAGGAATTAGAAAAGCAAATGACGTCCTTTTATGATTCACTTGGGAAAATCAATGAAATTATAACAGTTCTCGAGCACGAGGCACAATCTAGTGCTCTTTTTAAACAAAAACATCAGGTAAGAAAAATCCCTTTCAGGAGAAATAATTATTTTAATGCATGTGTAGTAAGACTGAGGTGTTGCTTACAATAATAGAAATTCAGTTAGGACAAGAAACATGTTTCTAGAATAGTAATAGCAACTCAAAACAAAACAAAAATACATCTTGTCCAAAGATGAAAGCCCATGCACTCTGAGTGGATGGGATCTGAGCTGTTTATAGGGAGCAGTAGGGCTGGTCCCAGGTGCAAGCCAGACTCTGCTCATCTGAACTAATAAATTCACTGAGTCAAGCAAAATTAGGAAGAATGGTTTGTTTTGAGCACCCAGTTCCCCTTTCTATCAACTGGGCAATGTGAGCCGATGTACTCGGCAAGTATTTA